GACTTTTGGGCCATTCCCATCTGTACCGGGTCGGCCCGGGCCGGGTAGCGTAGGTTGTTTACATATCTGGGTGGCCTGGTATTTTTCCGGGCCAACCAAGGCTCATTCTCAGCCCTCTTCTCGAGGGGGTCTGCTTCAGGCCGACCAGGGCCAACACACCCACTGCTGACAGCAAATTCACACCTTCCATTAGAGCAAGCCTCTGATTGGTGGGTAGAATCAGCCCACATGGGCTTAAGACAAGGATGTGTGGAATCAACCGGGCCAGGCTGGGGCCGACTGGGGCTACCCGGCCCGGGCCGACCAGAGTTTCTGACTGGTGTGTGTTAAATTGGGACTCCTAGTGTGTCCAGATGGTTAAATGTGTGCTAATTGAGCTCAAGCTGTTCTGACTTCAGTAAACATGATTGACTGCTCGTGCTTTCTAAATGACCACGTGGCGTCAGCACTGAAAGATGTTGGGATTTGTGTTTAGAGTTTTACAGTAACAGTTCACCAAATCTGACTCGTGTGTTAAAGCAGGGAAGAGTGTGTATGGTTCAGGGAATCTGGGTTCAAAAGGTTGGTTATAGTGTTTAAGCGATCGAAAAAAAAAAACTGTGAAGCTGATTGTTTCAGTTAAAGGGTGAATTGAAGCTTTAATTAAACTCTCAGTTTAAGATGCTTACAAGAGTTACTCATTTTACCAGAAAGAAGAGAATTATCGGGTCTCGTCTATGTAGCGTGGTTAACTACATACTAGAATTAACGCTGTTTGCTATCAGCTTTGTCAAATTCTGAGAAAAGCTCAAACAAGTTCACAAATGAAGCTTCTATCATATATAAATATCTAGGATATTATATATTCAATAGAAGTTCATATGCCAACAAGCTTGGTCTATTTTTAATCCAAAGATTAATGTTTAACTTAAGATAATTAAATTTAATAGCAAAAGTTAATTTATTTAATCAGAAGTTTAAAGGAATCTTTGCTTATTCAATAACCAGATATATATACACCATTCTGTGTTTCATTTCAAAGAAGAGTCAGGTTTTTGAAGTTAAGAATTTATTACTAACACTTTTTAAAAAATGACAATTTAGAAATGACAAATTTTAACAATCTGATGTTAAAACTTGTTTTAAAAAGCAAACCTGTGACTGAATGGAAACTAAATGAAATGTGAAGCTTTGGATGTGTGAATGAATCTCAGAAGGTTTCTTTAAGCGAGAGAAGCATTCAGGGTGAAAAGTTGTTTTTGCAGCTAACTGAGTCGTTTCTGAGGCCTAGTCCACACGTAGCCGGGTTTTTTTAAAACGAATATCCGCCCCTCCAAAAACTTGCATCCACACCACCTCGTTTAAAAAACAACTCTGTCCACACGTACCCGGATAAATACGTTGTTAAGGACATGCCAGACCTGTAGGCGGCAGTACTTCCCCCGTTCTTAACCTCGTCCTTCGTCTGTGGTCTTCCGCAAGGAGCAGTAATTCCGCTTGCAAAAACAAACAAGCAAAAAGCGCTTGGACAATTGATAAAGCGAGCGCAGCTCTGAGGGCTTCCATGCTGTCGGCTAGTGTAAACACAGGTCGCACGCGTGATGTCAGCATTTTTTTGTCGCGGAAAGTGACGTTGCGGACCCTAAAACTCCGGTTTTGTCCGTCCACACGCAGACACCCAAAACGGAGAAAACGCAGATCTTCACTTTGGCCGGAGTTTTTAAAAAGATCCATTTTCGTGTGAAAAAACTCTGTTTTCGTGTGGATGACAGGCCAAAACGTAGAAAAATATCTACGTTTTGGCAGATCCCCGGCTACGTGTGAACAGGGCCTTAGATAAACAGCATCAGACGCCATCTGTCAAAAGTGTCTGCCTCACCCAGTATCAGGAGACCCACTTCTGGATCCGAAATGTCAGGTGGAGATGATGTCCTCCGGGCACGAGGTTGGTAGAAGGACCTTTGTGCGACCAAATCGGTCCTGAGATGTCTCCGTGGGTCACATGACTGATGAAACTATTTGCGTCTCAAAACCAATAACTCTGAAGGAGTTTTGCGTCAGCTGGTTACAGGTGCGTTTCTTCGAAGCAAGTCTATGGGCGTGACAGAACAGCTTAGTAGAGAATCGGGCAGCCGTCCCTCGTCTCCTGGTGGGTTCAAGAACTGATCTTTTTGCTGCAGGATTTGGTTTTAACAAAACCCTCAGAACACGCCCTCTCAGCGTCAGAAAGCCTGGTCATGAAATAAAGACACGTGAGGTGGTTTAAACTTTACCCTGGATCCCTTCTGAATGAGGCTGGTTAAACGTGCAAGATGACCTTCTGGTTTACTGAACACACATTATGGATCATTATTATACCCAAAGCATAATAAGTCATTTCAGTAATTAAAATACATTTATACTGAACCAAGAGATTATTTATGATGGTTGTAATGAACAGTAATTAAGTCATAGAGTTAATTAAAATTATTTAAAATTTATTATTGTAAAATCTTGAAGTGTCCTTCATCTTGGGACAGAACAGCAGCAGATAGATGGTTTCAGCAGACTTCACGGCTCCTGGCTTCGTTAATCTGTGGGGCAAAGTTAAGCCTGGTTTATGCTTCTCCGTCAGCTCCGCGAGGGACAGACACGCACGGATTGATGGAAGCGTTTTGCTCTTTTACTTCTCCGTCTCCTGGAGAGTGTTTCAAAGCAATTGCCCGGCAGGACCACAGAGGGCGTAGCGCTGTTCTGTGGTATCCTGTCATGTATCGGTCCAAGATAGTGTGTTTATATTGTGTTTTTTGTGTATATAAGAGACTTTTAACACGGACATATTTGTCTCTCATTCTCCCACCGCTTCATGCGCTCCCCACCTCTAAACCCATGTTTCCTGTCATTTCCGTCCACAAATAAAACGCTTGCTGCGCATCTTTTCACTCCTCCAGTCACGGGAGGATGAAACGTTCATATTTTTAGAGTTTTTTCGTGAGATATTCTTCAAGCTTCTCCGTGTCTGCCGCTAGTTATCCTCGGCTCTCTGCAATGGCGGCGCTGTAAACAACAGCGGCGTCCTGACCAAGCCCCCACAATGCCGCTCTAAAAATGGTCCCATCCCGGAAGTAAGAAAAATTGCAGTTCCACCCTCATCCGCTGGGGGCTGGTGCCAGAAGCGAGCAAATCCTCATTGACTCCCATGTTAAAAATGCCGATTTCACAGCAGAAATAAACATGTTTACAGCCTGGTACCAAAACATGTTTTTTGTCTAAATTATCTAGTTTATACTCATGACAACTCTGAGGGGGGTGAATTTTTTTCTCACTCTTCTGTTTAAGTGTATTGAAAGCCTAAAATTCTGTATAATTAATGAGCATCCGACACACGTGACCGCCGCCTCAGACCCACGTGACCACAGAGCTAGCTCCGTGGAAAGGCCTCAGTACAGCCTCGGTCTGGCTTGGAAACTGCTCCGGCATTTTGAGTCTCTGTGTTTGTGTATTCTTCTTTGGATATTATTGGTGCAATTGTTGGACAAAATGACTTGCAGTGGTATTAATTGCACTAATAGAGCGTCCAAGGAGTCTCCACTTCATTTTTTTCGGTAAGTTAAAATCTATATTCGTATTTATGTCACTGCCACCTTTAAACTAGCTGAGTTTACCGAAGTAGCTAGCTAACTATCAGTTTAACATGTAGCATGTACTGTTTAACCATGAAATTTAAATGTAAAATACGGTAAAATAATTAATAGGGCATATTTAGATGGGTAATAGGGTAAAACCCAGTGCATTTAAGATAAAAATGGGTTGAAATATGACGGAGCGCTAAGAGGGAGACTTCTGTGTCCAATCTTCCATCCGGTAATCCCCAGCGGTCAGGCCGGGCAGCCTGACCGATCCGGCGCCTACTTGCTGCGCGGTCTGACCGCTCGTGGAGTTTTTCATGTCTGACTTTAACCGCATCTAATACTGTATTACGGCGTGAGCGCAACTGCGACAACTTAATATCGATGTGTAAGCAGCCTGAGTGGTAGGGTGTTTTCATCTGAACCCTTAAAACCTCCAGCAGGCTATGCTGCACTATTGACGTGTTAGCGCGCGGCGCTAACAACTTAGCAACGTGACATGTCTCTGAGAAAGCGTAAAACACGGACGCTTCTTCTGAAGCGGAAAATAACACTTCTTCTTAAGCAGATCAGGATGTCGCCTCGGCTCGTTCACGGCCGAGCCGGACTGAGCTCGATAACATTGACCAAGCACAGCCACTGGGTCGTTGTAGCTGCCACCAGGCCTGCTGAAGGAACTCCAGCGGGTTTCATCAGACTCGTAAAGTTTCTTGTTTTTGCTGGGGATTTCTGTATTTTACCGCTCCCTCCTGCAGTCTTCCCCTATTAAAATTTAAAATGTGTAACTTTATGTATTGTGATGAATGACTAATATTCGTGTAAAACTAAAACGTTAGGCATTTAGGGGGAAAAAACAAAATAATAAACATTATACAGATGTCAAATAAATCAAACTGTAATTAAACTATATATTTTCAAAGTCATATAGACAGCATGATGGTTTGTGTGATCCGCGCGGTTTCACTTACACCCCTTTAATGATCAGGCTGTTTTTTATTATTTTTATCAGCTGATAGCAGTTAAAATTATGGTAAAAAATACTTTTATCTGTTTTTGATAACTTAATGCCCAGGAAGAGCATCTTCTCTAGACATTAAATATAACCCAAATGTTTTATTATGAGCAGATCTGATGAAGGTGTAGACAAGCAGTCTGCAAAGTAAAACTTGTTTAGAGTCCAAACTCTTACTAAAGCTTTTGAAAAGAAAAAATGGTTGAATTTTGAGAAATATCCACAACAGGGGAGCGAGACCTCTGAAAAATGTAAATTTTCTCTGAATTCATAGAATAATGTGAAGATTCTGGGAAAAGTTGGGATTCTGAGATTAAAACGTAAATCTTTCTTATCATAATTCTGGCAGTTTTTGTGTCCTTCTGCTGTGGAAAGTCGTGCAACATGAAGATACTGAGAAGATGCTTACAACCTGTATTTTTATTCCATCCATAAATAAAATCATGAGCTATTTTTTTAATCCAAATTTGATCCAAAGGGCCATCGTTGGTTCCAGACCCGTTCTAGAACATTCCTCTAATCTTAAAGTCATCATCAGTTTCTTCCTTTTAACAAATATTTATTTGTTCAAATATTTAATATTTATAACTGGAATATTTGTTCCTCCCTCTCCCACTGCAGTTAGTCCTGTCCTGCAACCCTGTTTTTGCAGCTTAGTGAAGCCAACCATCACTAACCGGGGGGTGGTTTTGGACCCAGAGATGCGGATGGACTCCCACATTAGCCAGGTGGTTAGATCCTGCTTTTCCCGGCTTCGCCAGCTACCAAAGATGAAGTCCATCCTGAAAGACGTGTCATATTTTCTCCCCAAGCCGGACCTGACCGTCATGTATCGGTCCAAAATAGTGTGATGATATTGTGTTTTTTGTACATAACAGACTTTTTAACAGACAAATTTGTCGCATTCTCCTACACCTCTTCACGGGCTCGCCACAGTAAATATTCTATTTGGCGAGAGATAAACTTTATTGTATTTATCCTAGTGAATCTATAATTAAACGGGTAAACTAGTAGCACCACATCCAACATCAAAGAAAGTAAAATGTTACTATCAGGAGAGGGAGAATGTTTAAGTGGTTAGCAGCAGTGTGCTAGTCGATGGCCCCCTCCATGAGGCCACCACAGCTCAGCAGAACGTCGTTGTAGCTTCTTCTGGGGAGAAAAACACTTTGAGAAAAAATAAAGTTAACAGCTGAAATAGCAGGAAAGAATACAGTTAAAGAGCAGATTGTAGAAGAAAGAAACCCCTGGGTTAAACTGGTCTGTCTACTGCATAATGCTGAACTCTAACATGTGTCCTCAGGGAAGGACCTGATTGGTGTCCAGAACCTGCTGAAGAAGCACCAGGCTCTGCAGGCTGAGATCACAGGTCATGAACCTCGCATCAAGGCTGTCACCCAGAAAGGAGAGACCATGGTGGAAGAAGGTAGAGCAGGTCTGGTCCTGACATGTTTCTGAGGTGTCTGCAGGTTCTGGCTCACTTTTTTTGGGTCCAGGTCACTTCGCTGGTGAGGAAGTGAAGACTAAACTGTGGGAGCTTCATGGACGTTGGGACACGCTGAAGGCCAAGGCGTCCCAGAGGAGGCAGGACCTGGAGGACTCTCTGCAGGCCCAGCAGTACTTTGCGGATGCTAATGAGGCCGAGTCCTGGATGAGGGAGAAGGAGCCCATCGTTGGAAGTCCAGACTAAGGGAAAGACGAGGACTTGGCCGAGGTATGGAAGTCCCTTCCTGAGAAACTCCAATCGCTTTTCTTTGCTCTCTTTCCAGTCCTTCATAATTAGTGTTTCTGTATTTGTCATTTCCTTCGGTTGTCTACCAGACGTCGTTGCTCGTTTGAGCGTCTCATGGGTTAGGGGTAGAAGTGCTGGCCTCGCACAGGAAGTGATGACAAACGTGTTCCCGTCGCTCTCATTTCAAACGGTTTACAAGCTGTGATGTGTGTTCCCGCTGCAGAGCAGCCATGACACGTGGCAGCCGGCAGAAGGCTCACGCTTTTCCACTAAACACCCGCAGAGCTGCGTCTGCGGTGAACTGAGCAGGGTTTGTTTTACGGTGGCGGATCCGATTGGACCATCGCTGCGAGAAAGCTCCACTTGTGTCAGACGAGCTGAAGGTTCTGATGTTCTGCTCCACAGGCTCTCCTGAAGAAGCACGAGGCCCTGATGTCGGACCTGTCGGCTTACGGCAGCAGCATCCAGGCCCTGAAGGAGCAGGCCCAGTCCTGCAGGGTGAGTTCAGAACCCTCGGCCCGTCAGAACATTCTTATCCACCACGTTCTAACACCAGACCTGTTAACCCGAACGCAACAAGGTAATCAGCAGGTGCTTTTGTCCTGCAGGACCTGAAGGCCAACGAGTCCCGCCTGAGGGACATCAACAAGGTGGCATCTGAACTGGAGTCAGAAGGTCTGATGGCTGAGGAGGCTCCTATGGTTCAGGCTCAGGTGAGCGTCACCTGTCTGCAGCAGCTGGTCCCTCTCACTTCCTGGTTTAACTCTGCTCGTCTCTGTTTGTAGCAACAAGAACATCTGGGTTCTGCTCCTGGAAAGGTGCATGTTGTCCTCCGCCTCCACCAGAACCAGACGTGGTGTTTATGTTACCACTCATTTGTTTGTTTGTTTGTTTGTTTACAGGATGAAGCCGACTCTAACACGGCGTCACCCTGGAAGGTGAGTTCATTCAGCTGATCAGAGGTCACCTCTGATGGCAGCAGTCACGGCCGACCGTGCTGACATCACACAGGAATTCAGGTGACCCGGCAGGCACCAGGTGCTGGTGAAAGTGGGGACATGTCAGCTGGTTGCCATGGCTACAGTTATCTTTATGCATCTGTATGACTGCTGACTGGTGTGTGTTTCCTGTGACCTTTGACCTCAGACCGTACGGTTGGGCGTTCAGACGACGGCTAACTTTAATTCCATCAAGGTAAGAGGAAGCTCTTCCCTTCCTGTCTGAGCGATCCGTCTCCAGGTTTCTTCGTCCGGCGTCCAGCCCGCTGGCGTCCACCTTCATCTCACCTTCATCTCATCTCACTTCATTTATAGTGCAATACTTTCACATTATCATTTTCCCACACTTCTGTATACCTGTATTTTTTTGTTTTTCAATAAAGAATGACAAATTATTTAAGTTTGGTTTTTGTTGCACACAAATATATATCTGTAAAAAATATCTACAAAGCTAATGTTTACATAACAAGTATGATTGGGTTTTGCAATACGGCACTCAAGTTTATTTTAGTAAGATTTTCAAACCAAGTAAAGTTAGTAAAGAACACATTTCTATTGTCTGCTAAGAAACTGTTGGGATTTAAAATGGGCCTGTTGTACAAATAACTTGTAAATGATTATTCCTCACTTTTGTCTTAACCAAAGAAATTCCAGTAATTGAGCAAAAACATTTATTTTTAACACTACAGTTTATAAAACAGGGCACAGTGTCGGCACATGTATGTATGTCCATGGTCCGCCCCAACCAAACCAAGAGACACAGACGTCAGGGAGGCCAAGGTTGTCTCTGCAGCTCTCTGGGCACCACGCCTCACTCAGCTGTCTCCAATGATCCAAATGGCTATGGAGGAAAAAATAACAGGTTTGGCCTAGCTGTTTAAAGTACAAAACCATTCATGAAGTGGTCAAGACAAGTACTTGGTACTTACACTTGCTGCTTTGTGTAGCTGACGTTGACACACAGGCTGCCATGGTGACCTTTTAATAGATCTAAGAAAAAAATGTAATAAAAGAATGAAACTTAAAAACTCCCAGACCTCATGTCATATTTACTAATCAGCTATGGCTGATTTGTTTGGATCACAGTGAGTTACACTAATTCTAATATATTTTTATTTCTATTATACATACATACTTTTTAACTGTTATTTTCACATGACTGTTATCAGGCTCTCTTGTTCTGGTTCTGATGATAACTCTGTGTCTTCCAGTAAGTTATCTTGTGCTTACTTAATCTGTATAATGTCTCTTTACTTTTGGTAAATTGTACTGAGTCCAGAATAAAGACTAGCTGGCTGTACAAGATACAAACAAGTATTACGTTTTGGAAATATATGAAACACCGCAGCATCTGTTAGAGCCTGTGGCGGGGTGCTGAGGGCCGGCTCCAGCCCAGGAATGAGCTCTACACGCCGGCCGGGAGGGTTTCAAACACCGCCATCCTCTCCTCTGCTGGCTGTTCATTCTGTTATGGTTACCGGTGCTTGTGTAGCAATGTGAAACGCTTGGTCTCAGATTTTGTAAGAAAGATAATAAAATATCCCCCCAAAATACGACTTAAATATATTTTCTCTTCTTCATGATACATTTAATGGCTGGTGCGACTCAGGAGTGATAGCGCCGAAAAAAACTACTGAAAACTTGCTCAAAGCAAAATGTTTTCATTACGGAAATAAATTATAAACTTACCGATTTAAAACTTTTTTAATACAGGTACTTCTCACGAACAGGCGCAGAAAACCTCCACCTAAACTCCGTGTGAGGTTCAGGTCGATGGGTGTTCCAGTTAGCTCCGGTTGGGTTGAAGCTAGGTGGCTACATCCGTTAGCTCGGCTCCCACCTCCGCTTTAGCTTTGGGTTAGCCAGGGTTAGCTTCAGGTTAGCTCGTAGCTAGTTCGCCTGGGTGTCGTCACTCGAGCCCAGCCTTACAGCCACACCCTCAGCGCCTCCTCTCTTCCCTTTTATGGAGTTGTCTGGGCTGGACGGAACCTGTGACACGGTCAAAATGGCGGTGGTGGCCACCTCCCATTATAGACAACAAACGTGTTATTGAAGCCAATGGAATCCGTTTGTCCAGTATTTACAGTCTATGGTCCTGACCAATCACAAGCTTGCGTAATCCGTCTCGTTCGACGGATGTTTAAAAAAGTGCTCGACTCCGTACGTACTTGCGTGCGTGCCTGTCGGAGCCCTATGCAAGAACGGGTAATGGCGTTGCGTGTCTCCGCACTGACGCAGACGGAGAAGCATAAATCAGGCTTTACAGTCGACCCAGCTTGACCCAGCTGGGAAAATGTGACCTTTGTCACAAATTAGAGGCCATTCGTGACGCTACATCTATCAAAACAACACTCACCCAAAAAGGAAGAAAGATTTTATTGGAAAACATTTCTTTACCTAAATTATACCAAATTTGCATGTTTGACATAAAAGGAAAGAAGAACACGAACAGAACATTAAATTAGCAGTGAGAACCAACAGATTTTCTCATTCGGAGACTTAAAGCTGCCGGTGGGATGTGGGGTTTGTTTTAGACTCAAGCCGGACCTGTGAGTGCCACAAATGTCCCAGAGTGCTGCTCTGTTTTCCTGTTTATGATGTCACGCAGAGTAATGGGTAAAAGTCTGTCCTTGTCCCTCCGAGGAGCAGGAAACAAGTCCACCACCGTGCAGCTGGGCTTCGGACGCCTGCGTCTTAACGCCCGCTTCTCTGCACGGGATTTGGGTGGAGGGAGCCCATCACAGAGACGAGGGCAGGCAGAGGTGATGCCACAGAAAGACGGGTCATCAGAATGAGATGATGCCTCTGAGCTACCTTCTGATGGCGAGTCTCTGAAGGCGGGCTGGAGCAGCTGTTTACTGAGAAGAGCAGCATGTGTCCTGACGGGTGCATGGTGGCATCCAACAGCTCCATTACTCAGTCCAGGAGAATCTTCAAAAGACGGTTTCAGCGTCTCCACCTTGTCCAGAGGTTTCACCTTACGCCGTCTCCTCTAAGCAGCAAAGAGTGGAGTCAAAGGGAGGAAAGAAGGTTTGTGTCAGATCTAAAGGTCCTCTTACATCCTCTCAGAGCAGGCAATTCCACCCACCTTCCTGTTGGCTGGACCAAGACTCTGGGTCTCCTCTGCATGTAGGACTTCTGGGCCTGGAAACCAAACAACCAGGTGGAATTCTTGTTTTTACCCTCTGGGGTCCAGGGTGTAATTTGCCATTTTTGACTAATTTAGAGTTTTCCTTTGTATTTCCAAAATAAAAACCATAGCCACTGCCTTATGTGGTATCGATCTTTTCAGCACAACCTGGACTTTATGAATTTATACTTATTCTTTATATTTGGACATAAAGGGGATGCATATTAGACCTTAAATCACTCAAAAACATAAAATCTGATCAGAAAAAAGTTGTTTATTTTACTGTGAAACCAACAAACATTTATGACGAATGTTTTTTATAATTTAGATTCTTTATAAAAATATGAATCAATTAGAAAATAACAAATAAAAATTGTTAGCCCTCAGGGGTTCAGGGTGTAAATCACCGTTTTTGACTCATCTTGGTTTTTCTTTTGTATTTTCTAATAAAAACAATAAATATTGCCTTATGGGGTATCATTAATTTCAGGAAAACCTGGACTATCTGAATTCTTACTTATTTTATTAATTTGGCAATAATCTACATGCATTTTGGAGTGGGGAGTGGCTCTGTCTCACGCCGCGGGGATCGAGATCTGACAGCTGCGCGGCGCCGCCCACTCCTCTTGTTGGATCTCTGAGGAGCTGGATCTCTGCCTTCATCCTCTACCTCATCATGACCCAACTCTTCTATGAGGAAGGATGGATCTGCCACATCGTCATCAACATCCTCGCTGTTTGCCTCAGACTCTGGCTGTGAGTCTCCGTCCACTTCCTCTGCTTCCAGTTCAAAAAACAGCCGTACTATCTGCACCGCCTGGTGGACATTTATCCTTCTCATCATCCTTTATATAAGCCTAATAGAAGCCTACTAAACTGCAGAGACAATATATCTGTCCGGATCGCTCCAAAATATGAAGTTTACCGTCAATATCTGTCTAATTGCTTGTTGTTACCCCGTTCGCGCCACTCCTTTCCCCGCCAAGCGGCTCCTTTTTGCGCACATCTCGTTACTCGTGTGGCCTTCCTCTCTCTCTCAGCTACATAACGATGCTTTTTATCAGTTGAATATGTGAGACGTCCACCAACAGCAAAAGGATCTCGTGTTTTTCTGTTTTTTTTATGTTCACAAGCACAGTCCCTCTCACGGATTACTAAACTGCTGTTTTGACAAGTTATCAGATTGTCTAAAAATAGGTAGTTTTTTTAGTTTAGTATAACTCCGCTTTTACGTTGCCTATTAACAAAAAACTGGGGTGTAGTTTATAATCTCCTTTTTAAAGCTGAACTGAAACCGAAACTCAGCGAGGCGGAGTCTTGCTGCTACAGCGTCCCAAATCAGACCTGTTCAAAAGACGCTGATACGCGTCTGTGGACCCCAGAGGGTTAAAGAAACACGGTGATTATTAAATAATTAAAGCAGATCAGAAAACTACATAAAGGTGTGGTTATCAGCTGGATTCATAAACAGTCAGGCTGGTCTCTAGTAGGAATGAATGCCTTGTAAATCGTAATCTGGGGGAAAAAAAGCTCCGGTGTGCCTGTTTGGATGTAGAAGTCAGCTGGAAGAGAAAACAGCTTCAGACGTCAGGATTTGGACTCTTATTTCCAGATATTTGGACATCTGATTGGCTGAGAGCAACCTGACTCTACCACTGCTCTGCAATGTTGATGCTCTATCTCCACTCACAAGACTGAAGGAGTTCTGCCATGTGGTGGAGTTTCTAATGCTAACGGTTAGCTTCTTCTAGCCAAGACGTTTTCTGTTTCCTGGACGCTAAACCAACAACAGCCTTCCCCGTTGAGAGTCAATATCGGCACGGAGTCCACGGATGCAAGTGACAGTGTGACGCACGTCTGTCAAGATTTTCTGATCCTAGAGTTTCACCGTCTACCAGAAGCTAATGCAGGAGATAGGTGTAGGAGACTAAAGTTTCCGATTCTGTGATTCCAGCAGAAATTTGGTCTCTGTCCCTAGCCAACAGCTGCAGTGAGAAACCGATTCATGTTCCATATCCTGTGGTTGGTGATGTGATGCACACCTACCTTCAGTGGAGGCTGCCTGGAAGGCCTCGGAGTGTATGAGAGGATAAGAAGCACTCCGTTTCAGACCGGTCTCATCGCAGAAGGAAGACTGCCTGCTAAACAAACAGTAACCATTAAGTAGAAGAACATTTTATTCATATTTTTTCCACAAACAGAGCTTCTTAATCAATTTCCCTCTGGGATTAATAAAGTATTTTTGAATTTGAATTGAATTGAATTCTGACCCCTTCTTTCCACGGAGCCGTCAGCAGCGCGAGTCGGCCGCGTCTCAGGAGCAGCATGTCGCGGCCTTTACGCGCCGGTTCTATTTTCTACGCGCGACGCCTCTGAAACGGGTCAAGTTCGACATTTTTGGGGAAGGAAAGACAGGAAATCAGATGCGGAAATGGAGCGAAGCTCCCGAGATTTTCAGAATAAAGAAACGTGCTGCCTTCCGGTTGCTTTACTTTAAGAAAAGTTGCTAACTGTGCGTCCCCGTGAGAAGTTATCACCTAGCTAGCGGTCTCCTTTGTTTTTCAGGTCCGTATTGGCGATTATAAAACGGACAGAACATAAAACACAAACCTTTTGGAGCCATGTTGTAGTTTTCTCCTGCTTGTTGTTGTGTTTACTGACGAAGTCACTCGTGTGACTTCGTGCTCGGTCGGTGACAGCTGCTCCCCTGCTGCTTCGCGTCTCGTGGGAAGGGCCGAGCAGCAGCTTACGCGAGCAAGACGTGCTGCTGCAGTAACGTGCTGCTGACGGCTCCGGTGGAAAGAAGGGGTGACTGGGGCAAAAGGTCATGCCCTACCTCTCAGGTCTGCAGCTGCTGTAGCTCTTTGGGTTGGGTGGATCGGGTTCTGCGCTTGAAGGAACTGTGATGCGGCACTGGTTGGCACACAGCAGGAGGCCGAGACACAAACACAACACGAGAGAAAGCAGCAGGTAGTTCTGGCTGTCTGAGACCTGGAAAACAGAAGCTAGTCATCAACATTAGGTGTGCTTCTTAAAACACACACACTAGACCAGCACACCAGATCCCCAGCTGTTTGGATCAGGAGCTCTGCTGGAGCGGCAGTAGATGACACAGATCCAGACCGGATTAAGCCGGTCGTAAGAGGCTGAGAGATGTAGAAGGTGTTCGGCCTGCAGACGTGGATCTACCTCCATCTGCAGCTGGCTGACTCTAGCAGACAAGTTGAGAACGAGCTGAGTCACGTTCTCCAGCTGACCCTGCAGCAGCTGAATGGATTCAGTCTGACGCAGATCCTGCAGACATAAGAAATAACAGCTGGGTTTCGTATCTCTGCACTTTTACAACAGGCTCAGAATATTTCTGTTTCACTGGACAAAAGGACCAGACGAGTCGGACAGGAAGCACACCTGCTCCTCTGCTATCCTGGACGTTTTCTGGAGTTTAATGATGGTTTTGTTAAAAGCTTTCTGCATCTCCTCCATCTGCTTTCGGTACCTGTGATTATAAACATGGGAAGGTCTTCAGACTGAGGAGTTCCTGAGCCAGAGGACCCGCTCTTTTCTCATCATAACTTAAAGAGCAAGTCACCCCCAAATTAACTTTTTTTTGCTGATAAACTAAATAAACGAGTGTCTAATCGTGCTGCAGACACGTGTCGTCAATAATTTGGCACTTCAGTGCATCTTAGTTAAAATTTAAATATTCTGCCTAAAACTGGCAGTGTTGTGCCGTCGCCAGGTAAAAACTCTGCACTGTATTCTAATTTAAATCTGCCACCGCTATTGGCTTAGAGGTACTGTATGCTGTGATGTCATATGGTACATTATGATGTCACAATGCTGTCGTGAGCCTGTGTGTGTGTATTTGTTAGCGGCTCCGCCCTCTCGGTCTGCCAGGCAACAGCATTTGTTGCATTTTTCAAACATGAAGTGAGAGTGGAGTTAGACTCTGGTAGGGGGTGACTTGCTCTTTAAGGAGCCTCACCTCTGGCTGAGCTGCTCCAGGTAGCGCCCGCTCAGCGACATGTTCACCTCCAGCGCCTTGATGCGGTTGTTGAGTCTCATGAAGACGGACTCTTTCTGGTTGGACCCGTGTAGCAGATTCCCGTTCTGCTCCGACCCGTTAAATGGCTCTGCGTAGATGTCTGACAGGGACGGAGGGGGGGCGAGAGAGGCGGTTGGAAAAGGCGGAGGAACCAGCGGACCGTTGCCTGCCGAGGACGCAGAGATGTCCTCTGTGTTGTCCTCCGTTTTCGTATCCGTGACGACCACGTGATCAGCAGGGGGGCGAAAGTGGGACACAGTGTCTGCAGCAGAGGGGGGGTCTTCAGTGGAAGCTGGGGGGGTCTCGGAAACAGGTGGTGGCTCAATGTGATGCTCTGAAGGAAGAGTAGAGGTGGAGGGGAGTAGTGGAGCCTGAGATGTCTTCTCCTGGACAGTGATGTTCGTTTCTAACTGAGGGACATCATTGTGAGGTGCTGCTGATTGGTCCACTGAGACGGAGACGCTGACGGAGACGGAGCAGCTGAGAGAAGCTGTAGGCTCCACACGCTGATCTTCAGCCAGGCTCTCCTCTGGCTCCGGCTCCTTTACAGTGTCCTCAGAGGACAGCTTTGGTGTCTCCACAACAGGGACAAATGGTGTCTCAGTGAGACTGGGTTTAGGGAGGTTCTGAGTCCGACTGGGCTCCAGGACACTGGGTTCAGTTCTGGAAGCTTCTGTGTTCTCAGCAGGTGGAGACGGCTCTGATGGGACAGCTTCAGTCTCCGGCCCCAGCTCAGAGGACCGTTCTGTTTCAGGAAGCCGATTCTCCTCAGGACCACGTGGCTGGAGCTCAGAGCTAGGGTTAGGGGACAGCTGTCCAGTAGGGGTCAGGGTAGATGGAGGTCCTGGCTCTCTGTCCGCAGCTTGGCAAGTTCTCTTTTCGGCTGAACACCGCTGCAGAACAAGGTTCTGGAAGGAAGCTGCACACGAGCAGGAGGAGGAACAGGAGCAGCAGACGTTCTCCTGATTCCTCGTTTCCTTGTCTTCATCCTGATCCTCTTTGTCCAGAAGAATGATTGTAGAGCTGATCGGTTCCTCCTCCTCTTTACCTAAGGGAATGACTATAGTGTCCTTCGGCTGGAGGAGCTCCTGCACCCGCTCATCATCACCACCACGGACATCTTCATCATCAGTATCAGCTGGTGTCTCGGCGGTCTGAGGCGGAGGAGAAACAGGCTCATCTTCAGAGTCTGGACTAGAGAGAGAAGAGCTGAATTAGATCTGAGAGTGCTGGACTAATCTGTGCTTCAACATTTATCTGAAGTTTAGAAGGCTGCGCCGACAGGATTAGACCGGGACAGAGGATCGGCGAAACTGTAGCTACAAAACAGGTAAACAAAACTGTTTCTGTGTTTAAAAAGAACGAAAGCATGGAATTAGAACCACGACACAGCAAGAACACACCTAAGATGTTCAAAGAGAATGATGGATTGTTTTTAAAACAGCGTGAAGACTGCTCTCAGAGCAGGCTGTAAAGGACTTCAGATGGAAACACACCAACTATGAACTCGATACCTGTAAAGTTCACGAGGCATAGCCAGCTCCGTTTCTTTTTTGGCTAAACTCAAGTGGCCGTGGCGGCCATCTTGAATTTGGTTGACTCCAAACATTCACCAGCTGTAGACGAACGTCCAGCTATATCGTTCTGAGAGTTTCGTTAGAATCATCTCGATGGTCCGCGAGGTATGTTGCCAAAAAACACTCGTGCCACATGAAACGAAGGAAAATCAATAAAAGACGACTAACTGGGCGAAGAGAGGAAAACGTGGCTTTTGTGAAGGCAAGTAAGTAAGTAAGTAAAAGTTTATTTATGTAGCGCCTTTCTCAGATATAAATCACAAAGCGCTGTACAACATGATAAAGATCAGGGCAAATACCTCTAACCAATAAAAACATCAGAAAAACAATAGCAGTGATAAAATAGTAAATAAAATCATGAGTATAAACAAAGTGAAGGTGTGAACAAGAACAAAGCCATCTTTTAGAACATTTAGGGAGGGAACGCCTGGATGAAAAGGTGAGTTTTTAGATGATTTTTAAAGACATCTACAGTGTTAGAGAGACGGAGATTTGAAGGTAGACTGTTCCAAAGTCTGGGTGCAATAGTCTGAAAGGCCCTGTCCCCTTTGGTTTTCAGTCTGGTTCGAGGAACAGCCAGGAGGTTTTCAGATGTGGATCTAAGGTTCCGAGAGGTGGTGTGTGGGGATAAAAGCTCAGATAGGTAGCTTGGAGCCTGGTTGTTAAGAGCTCTATAGGTCAGGACTAAAACTTTAAACTGTATTCTATATTCTACCGGGAGCCAGTGGAGGGACTGTAAACCTGGAGTGATGTGAGCTCGTCTGCTGGATTTGGTTAGGAGTCTGGCTGCTGCATTTTGGATGGCTTGAAGGCGTGAGAGGGAGGTTTTGCTGAGACCAGTAAAAAGAGCGTTACAGTAGTCTAAGCGTGATGACACAAAGGCATGGATGATTTTTTCCAGATCTGCAGTAGAAACCAGTTTACGGACTTTTGAAATGTTTCTCAGTTGAAAGAAACAAGAGCGGGAGATGGTTTTGACGTGTGAGTCTAAACTTAAAGCTGGATCAAAAATAACTCCCAGGTTTCTAATGTTGGCCTTGGCTGATGGGCAAAAAGAGGCAATTTCCTGTCGATTTGTGGCTGAAGTTCCGGGGGTGCAGCGATCAGGGTCTCTGTCTTGTTAGCATTGAGGACTAGGAAGTTGCTGGACAGCCAGTTACTGATCTGGGTCAGGCAGAGTACAAGGGTGGCCAGCCTGTCCAACTGGTGTGGCATAAAGGACATATAGAGCTGAATATCGTCAGCGTAGATGTGGTAGGAGATGTCTGGGAAAGACTGAATGATGCCAGCTAGAGGAAGAATATAGAATGCGAATAGTAGAGGCCCTAGAACTGAACCTTGGTCAAGGTTGGTCAAGGTCAAGTTGTTTCGTGCTTTAATACATTCGCAGTGGTCTCAAGCAGGACTGAATGCCTTGTACGTTGTTCTCTGGAGAGTCTGTTTCAGCACGGAAAATTCAGCCAGAGGAGCAACTGTCAGAAGGATCTGGACTCTTACTTCCTGATATTTGGACACCTCTCCTCTGATTGGCTAACAGCAACATGCCTCTACCACGGACTCCATTTGCTCTGCAACGTTGATGTTTTACCTCCACAAATAACACAAGCCTGGAGGAGTTCTGCTGTGTGGTGGAGTTGCTAATGCTAACGGTTAGCTTTTACTAGCCGAGACGTTCTCAGCCTTCCCCGTTGTGAGTCAAGATGGGTAAGTCCGTGAATGTTAACCCTTTAAGCGCCAAAGTCGCAGAACTGCGACAAGCAGCAATGTTGGATTTAATAAGCCACAGCAGCAGAAATGAGCCCCCGCGCAGTTAATACGTTACACTGCGGGGAGGCAGACACCTGTAACTTCAATCCAAGCAGCATTTGTGGGTGTGTTACTATTCAAACTTTTCGAGTATTTAGAACTTGAACCCCGCCCACCAGTCGCTGAGCCGTGGGGCTTGTCAGAGCAGTCAGAGCGAGTGAGAGTGAGCGAGTGGTAGAGGAAAAAAAACGCAATGCCGAGAGGAATGTTCAGTGCTGACGAAGCTCTTCGTCTTGTACTGGCAGATTCGGATTCGGAGGAAGAATATTTCCTGTCCGAGGATGATCTGCCGTCTTCTAGCGAGACAGAAAGCGTGGCTTCAGCGCGCAGCAACAGAGAGTCCGTCAGCGACGACACGGTTACACAAGCAGCCCATCCAGCCCTTATCTTGTCCGATATTCCGCGTCGGGAAAAGAGACGTGGCGGGAGGCTCGTACCGGGTCTGATCCTTTGATCCACCGTGCCAGGGGGGAGGGGGGATGTGGTGGCGGTGATCGGGCCGGTGAAAACTCCGCTGGTGATCAATTCAGCCCCTATCTATCTATCTATCTATCTATATCTATCTATCTATCCATCTATCATCTCTATCCATCTATATCTATCTATCATCTATCATCTCTATCCATCTATCTATCATCTCTATCCATCTATCTATCTATCTATATCTATCTATATCTATCTATCATCTCTATCCATCTATCATCTCTATCCATCTATCTATCTATATCTATCTATCTATCTATATCTATCTATCATCTATCAATCTATCTATATCTATCTATATCTATCTATATCTATCTATCATCTATCATCTCTATCCATCTATCTATATCTATCTATATCTATCTATCTATCTATCTATATCTATCTATCATCTATCAATCTATCTATCTATATCTATCTATATCTATCTATATCTATCTATCATCTCTATCCATCTATCTATCATCTCTATCCATCTATCTATCTATCTATATCTATCTATATCTATCTATATCTATCTATATCTATCTATCATCTCTATCCATCTATCATCTCTATCCATCTATCTATCTATATCTATCTATCTATCTATATCTATCTATCATCTATCAATCTATCTATATCTATCTATATCTATCTATATCTATCTATCATCTATCATCTCTATCCATCTATCCATCTATCTATATCTATCTATATCTATCTATCTATCTATATCTATCTATCATCTATCAATCTATCTATCTATATCTATCTATATCTATCTATATCTATCTATATCTATCTATCATCTATCATCTCTATCCATCTATCCATCTATCTATATCTATCTATATCTATCTATCATCTATCAATCTATCTATCTATCTATATCTATCTATATCTATCTATATCTATCTATCATCTATCATCTCTATCCATCTATCCATCTATCATCTATCTATCTATCTATATCTATCTATCTATCTATATCTATCTATCTCTATCCATCTATCTATCTATCTATCTATCTATCTATCATCTATCTATCTATCTATCTATCTATCTATCTATCTATCATCTCTCTAGCCATCTATCTATCCATCTATCATCTATCTATCTATAAATGTGTGCATATATATATATATATATATATATATATATATATATATATATATATATATGTATATATGCACACATATACAATAACAATTATAAACAAAATAAACCAAAGACAGGATGAGTGAAATGTGTTCATGAAACTGAAGCACCAAAAACCGTGTTCTTGATTGATATGCAATAAACATAACAAAATACCAATAAAGTAATAAATATTATATATATATATATATATATATATACACATAGTTATATATGTCTACATAGGAATATGTATATATGTATCATAAACAATAACACTAAGAAAATAAGACAAAAATATTTAAAAAAAAAACAACAAAATCTGCAAATGTGATGCAATCCAATATGGCTGCCACCTGATGACGTCACAATATGCAAATTATTATTATTTTTTTATAATAATATGCAAATTATGTGAGTGAATTTGTTCCTATCACAAAATTTGGCTCGTACTGAAGATATTTCTCATTTACAATATTCCTCTGTCTCTAACCAGATTTAAGCTACAAGCTCTTTAAATAGTGATGTAAAAAATTCATATTTTACTGAAAAACTATGGCACCTAAAGGGTTAAGTGACAGTGTGATGTAGATCTGTCAGGCTTTTCTAATCCTAGAGTTTCACCATCTATTTTCTATCAGAAGCTACTGCAGGAGATAGGTGTAGGAGACTATTTTTTCAGCATGAAAAACTTAAGAGTGACAGATTTATAATAAGAAATAATAAAATGGTTTCTCAGTAAACCAGCCCTTTACATAAACACAGTTGAAATAAACCAGCTGTATATCCTACCAACGGCTGTAGTGGTTAGGGTTGGGTGTAGAACAGGGAGCACTGGGCTTTAGAAGCTCAGGACCAGTACTCACGCTGTGGAGAGGTCAGTAGCACCAGGAGTAGCAGTGGGTTCAGGTGACTCCGACATGTTGACTCCCAGAGACGAGAGGTTTCCTTAGAAAAGCAACAGCAAACCTCACTCAGCCAATCACAGATGAGAGAAAACTGAAGACAATAGGACACGGCCTCTTGTCCATACCTGGGCTTCCTCCCAGAACATTGACAGCTATGTTGTTCACCATGTTCAGAATCACATCTGAAGAGAACATTTACACAAATAATTATTCTGCGGGTTTAAAACAAGCATGGTCATGTTTTAGAGGTGAAGGTGTGTTTGCTTTCAAACCTTTTGCTGATCCAATCAGATTCTTAGCTTCTCCAGATGAGACTCCAGGAGGATAATCTGTAGGAAGGATGAAACATCTTTATGGGTGTGACCCCACGGGGAAAGTTGATTATTGAGCAGGATTGATGGTTTATCCCTTGAGGACCACGTGGCAGGGGTGAGGTGGTGCTCACTCCTCCCCCCGCCACACAAACCCAAGGGATAAACCATCAATCCTGCTCAATAATCAACTTTCCTCGCGGGGTCACACCCATTAGGACAGTGGGAGGGTTAAACATGACCCAGACCTCTACAGCAGACCAGGGTTTCTGTCTCACCTAAATCATCATCCTGATCATCTGGCCTCTCTGAAGGATCAGCAAACTCCTCATACTCCGCCATCATGCTCGTCCCAAAAACCCTGTCGGAGGAAAACAGAGCAACATCAGTTGGACGCCAGCGGGGACAGGAACGAAGGTCTGCTGAAGCCCGTCTCTCTAGAAGCAAACAAGTTAACTCATTCACTGCCAGCCATTTCCTGATCAGTAAAGCCCTTCGCTGCCAGCGTTTCTCACCGTTTTTAGTGTTTTTTTTAAGAGTGACTGTTACGGACGCTGTCCGTTTTGTGGCTTCAAGAGGGACTCAGCCTCAGCGCTCCTCCTGTTCTCCTGGCTCCAGCTGAGCCAGGTGTTAACAATTCCACAATCAGGGCTCCTAGACGAGCTGGGGGCCGTAAAAGTGACAGAACGTTGCACACTAGGATGATGTCGACGCCAAAACAACCAAAACAAAGCAGAGTCTCGCCTCTTACATCAGGAAGACTCTGCGTGTTTCGAGCATTATCCGTTCTTTCATAATCCGTTGCTGAATTGTGGACAGCAGCGGCCCCAAACGATCTCCCAACACATGGATTTTCTGCTTCCTGATCACGTAACGTGTGACCTACGCAGATGTAGATCGGCTTTAGAGATGAGATGCTTGTTCTCGCGGTGCGGGGGCTCGTCCGACGCCCACACAGTAAAAACATGCACTGGCAGTGAATGGTTGGCTTTAAAATGACGACTTTAGTCATCAATGGCAGTGAATGAGTTAATAGAAAAGTGTGTGTGTGTGTTACCTAATGAGACTGAGGGGGCAGAAATGCTCTGAGCCAAAGTGAGACAGCAGCTCCACCTGGAAACCATGCAGGAGTCAGACTGCAACTGGGATCATTTACAGTTCATTTATGAATAACTCCACACAGAAATCATCCCTCAGCAGCTGCCAGTGAGTTACTGCATCAGTCAGGAAACCCAATCATCAGTGGATCATGTGACAGAAGAACAGAGCCTGGTGGTGTGTGTGTGTGTGTGTGTGTGTGTGTGTTTGGATTTCAGACAGCTTGGTTAGATCAGGTTCTGGTAACTGATTAGTGTGTTAGGATCATGTGTTTTCAGATCACCCCACCACAGCAGAGCAGGCTAACCTTTATGTACTTGGTGAACATCTGAAGCAGAAGAAACAGGAAAGAACAGAGAAAAACAAACAGATTTAAACAGGCATCCATAACAGGACATGATGGCTGGCTGGATCTTCAGACAGAACCACGAGGAACAGAGCTACATGCTGAGCAGCACTAGCTAAGGCTAGGTTCACACTGCAGACAAAAGTGCATCAAACCTGATTTGTCCCTACGTGTGATCCATATTTGATGTTTTTGAGACAGTCTGAACAGCACGGATCTGATTTGTTCAAATCCGATGCAGGTCACTTTCATATGTGGTACTGAACCAGATTAGCATTAGGTACCGAATTTGGTACTTTTTAAGGTACCAACCAAATTCTACAGTACCGACTGAGCACCGATTCACGTCATTTGAAACGGTGCTTCGTTTCGGTACCCGTCCTTCATAACGAGAACTTGCCTAGACAGCTGCGCATGCGCAAGAGCGTTATGTCGTCGGTCGCTGCGAGCCAGTTGTAAACAGAGCAGCATGGTAGAAAGAACGCACGCTAAAGCTTGGGTCCACTTCACTAAATGTGATGGGTAACTGGGTGATGATGAAACCAGCGACAACGATCTAAGTGAGACATCCTCATCTTAATCTGCTCCGGTAGGTAAATAAAATGTTTAAGATAACGTTAGCTTGATTTGTTAGCTTCCGTTTCGCTAATGGTGCGTTCGCTTTCTCCTCGGAACTCCGAATTTCTGACTAGAAGAACATGAACGCGCTCTAAAGTTTGGCTTCACTTTACTAAATGCGACGGGTGATTGGGTGAAGATGAAACCAGCGACAACGATCTAAGTGTGAGGCATCATCGTTTTAATCTGCTCCAGCAGCTAAATAAACTGTTTAAGATAACGTTAGCTTGATATGTTAGCTTCCATTGCTACCATTGTTATCAGCTAATGGTGCGTTCGCTTTCTCCTTGGAAATTCTAACTTCCCAGTAGGAAAAATCAAATGAACAAGGATGGCAAAAGGAATGAAGATACACAGTAAATTTAGTTCACAGTAAAGATGTTTGCTTCAGTTTAATTATCAGCTTATAAAACTACAAGGACGATGTTAAAATACAAACAGTTGTATGTTATTTATCGTGATATTTATCAAATATGGTTATATATTGAGAAAAATATATATTTAATTATAAAAGATAATTAAAATATTAAACACTCAAAAGTATCGAAAATTGGTACCGTTAAGTACCGGTATCGATTCCTAGGTACCGGGAATTAGTACCGAATCGATTCAAATGTCAAAGGTACCCATCCCTAAATCAGATACATATCTGATGTTTTTGTGACGGTCTGAAGTTTTTAAACGGTCAAGTGGCATTAAATCTGTTCCCTACGTCACTGATGAATAAGCGGGGGGGGTGGGGGGGTTCCAAAATCTCCAAACACAAAGTTACTAAACTCCTGACCCAAATGGTCAACTTGTTGTTTTACATCAGCAGAGGAGAAACAAGGCGTGGAAATTTATAAAAAAAAACAAACACAAGAAAATCAAACCCACCTTCACATATTTTGCATAAAGGTGCTCGTCCAATGGGAAACTCTGGACTGTGCGTTCGTCCCTGGCGTGGAACGTTCCCAGCTTCAGCCACTTGTTAGTTGGGTACCTGCAAACAACAAGAGTGGGTTCAGAAGCAGAGACGTCTGGAAGCTCACAGATCCAGACAGACAGTGTACACCTCTTAAGGCTGGTTCATACCGGTCGCTGATGGAGACCAGGAAGTCTTTAGGGGTGGAAGAAAAAAGCTCAAAATTAGCGATGTCCAACTGTTTCAGCTGGATGGGCTCACAGAGCTCAATGATAAACCTGAGCAAGAAAGAACAACAAACTCTAAACTCCAACGTTCAGGAGCAGCGAGGACGCCACACAGAAGCACCTACCATACTTTGGTGCTACATGGGTTTAACATGTACATGTCCATGTTCTCCTTCAGTATGGAGGAGGTGCTCTGCAGAGGGAACAACAGACTCAATATGCTGTCAAACATTGTTTTCTAAAACCAGAGAAGAAGAAAGACCTTAGCCTCTGGGTTAGCACCGAGGATCTTGGCTCCACACTCCACAGAGGCGTAGTTGTTAAAGTTCTTCTGGACTTTCTTCACTGGGAGGGAGGCGCCGTTGCTGGAGGTGTGGGTGGACTGGGCTGTGAAGGAGAACCACAGAGATCCTCTCATAAATGTCACCTTTTAACTGAAATAAGAAGCAGGGACCGTTCTGGTCTTACTCTTCTCCTTCTCCACCTCCATCATTTTACGCTTCCACTCATCAAACGTGGGGATGTCCTCGGGGTCTTTGCTGCTCACAGGGGGGTCCGTGTCTGCAGTGCCGGGGGAACTCAGGTCCTGTCAGAGATGAGGAGACTACGTGAGGTGGGACGCTTCCCCTGGCAGAAACAGGAAGTAGCTCACCTGAGTGCCTCACCTTCTCTTTCAGTGTGTGGGACATGTTGGCTTCCAGATGCTTGGTGCTAGGAACAGCTGGAGGACTCAGTGGGGGGGCAGTGTGGGCTTTGGTGCCTGCAGTGTGAGCATTAGAGGTGTTCTCCAGAACCAGAGGAGGGCTGAGGAGGTAACGAGAGCAAACGTTCAGAGAGCAGCTGTTCTCCGATGGAACCTCTGACGGGTTTTCCTACTTCATGCACCTGTCGTCATCATACGGGTTGGTCCCTTCGCTCTCGCAGTCAAAGTCAGAGACCTCAGCAGCAGCTTCAGCAGACACATCACTCCTGTCACTGAAACATAACGGCAAAGCTTTTAGCAGAAAGGAATCTTTACCAGACTCTGAGCTCCATGTGAGAACTCCGTTAAAGACAAACGTGTGAGGTCACAGCAGCCTGCCTGCTAGGGGTGCTGGGACCGGAGTCAGAGGGGGGAGGACAGTCCTCGTGCCGGCACACGGATGTTTCAGGACTCTGCTCAGGTGGTGGAGCTCCTACATCTGCCTCCAGAGCAGCTGTCTCTGCTGGAAAGTCCTGATGGAAACAGACACAGAGATCCACACGGAGCGCTAACCAGAGCTAACGGGCTGAAGGAGAAGCAGCTCCAGAAACAACCAATGAAAACCTGATGGCGTGTTGCATTTGGAAGAACTTTAAACACAGAAGATTCCTGCAGGTTTCATCATCTGAGACTCGTGTTGTTCTGACCCCGGGTTTCCACGGGAGCCGTCAGCAGCACGTTACTGCAGCAGCACGTCTTGCTCGCGTAAGCTGCTGCTTGGCCCTTCCCACGAGACGCGAAGCAGCAGGGGAGCAGCTGTCACCGACCGAGCACGAAGTCACACGAGTGACTTCGTCAGTAAACACAACAACAAGCAGGAGAAAACTACAACATGGTTTGTGTTTTATGTTCTGTCCGTTTTATAATCGCCAATACGGACCTGAAAAACAAAGGAGACCGCTAGCTAGGTGATAACTTCTCACGGGGCCACACAGTTCGTAACGTTTTTTAAAAGTAAAGCAACCGGAAGGCAGTACGTTCTTTATTCTGAAAATCTCGGTAGCTTCGCTCCGTTTCCGCGTCTGATTTCCTGTCTTTCCTTCCCCAAAAATTTCGAACTTGACCCGTTTCAGAGGCGTCGCGCGTAGAAAATAGAACCGGCGCGTAAAGGCCGCGACATGCTGCTCCTGAGACGCGGCCGACTCGCGCTGCTGACGGCTCCAGTGGAAAAGGTTCTGTTGACCACAGCGGTTCCTATCAGCAGCTATGACGTGCTGCTGCAGTAACGTGCTGCTGACGGCTCCTGTGGAAAGCTGGGGTAAGCCTCAGAAATCCTGCTCATTTAGAAACATTCTCCTCAAACTGTTTCCTATCCATGTGCTGTGTCACCTGCTCCAGAGCAGAGGGACGAGCGCCTCCCACTTCTTCATTTTCTGGTGAGAACTGAGCAGGCAAGTCCCAGACTGGCTCAACCTGAAGGTGGAAGGAAAAAACACAAATACATCACTGTCATAGATGTAAATCACTGTTTAAAAGGCAAACATTCAAATGTGATTTTCACTCAGTGACGAACCGCCACCTTCTGATGAGGCGCCTCTTCCCCAGACTCCTCCTCTGACGGGACATCCTGGGAGGACACGGGCATCGGGGCCTCTGGGCCCGGCTCCAGACACCCAACATGACAGCTACAGAACCTGCAGATGTGGAAGGAAATCTTTAAGTCCCACAGCTGTTTCACACAAACTGTTATTTACAAAAGCAGAAGGTTGTGGGAGCACGCTTTTGTTCTCTCTTCAGGAGGTGAGTCACAGAAAAAGCCACAGCCATGAGAAAGTCCAGGTGGGTTGTGCCCCAACATAACATGTTATCTTATCAGTGTGAGAACACACGCCTGAACCTAATCTGCACCACACTAGTATGAAATCCCGCGATAGAGCTCTGAATGGTTTTATGACTGCTGCCAACTTTACACCTGCTTAATATGTGACCAGGTGTGTTATTCCTAACATCTGTGGAAAAACGGCAACTTCCACATATCTAAATGAAATCCGCGTTTTGATGTGAAAGACACACAAACAGAGAGAGGGGGGGGGGGGGGGGGGCTTCAAGTCAAAACCCAGTCCCAGCTGAGGAGAGGCGGTAAGAACCAGTAACATCTGAACACTCGGCCACCGGGACTCACAGCGTCGAGCTTCTCTCCATCTCAGGACCACAGCAGGGTTGTCAGCAGCTACTTTTGCACAAACTCGTGAAAAATCTAGGCTTGGATTTCAGCTAATCCAAGGTTACCTGAGTTCTGATGTTTTCAGAGTAAACACTCAGCTGGTTCAAATGAAGGCGTTGCTAAACTCAGCAGCCATAATATGAGGAGGCCTCAAGGCATGAAAATAGTGTTGAAACATGGAGGAAAACTGGATGGGCTGCAAGGTTAGCGCTGTCGCCTCGCAGCACGAAGGTCGCAGGTTCGAAACTCGGCTCGGCTGCGGCCTTTCTGCGTGGAGTTGCGTGCTCTCCCCATGCATGCGTGGGTTTCCTCCGGGTACTCCGGTTTCCCCCACAGATCACAACACGCCCTACAGGTTATACAGGGTATCTGCAGGTTTAAGGGAGCCAAATTTAAGACTTTTTAAGACCTTTTTTACGGCCACTTTGACCAAATTTAAGCTACTTTTTAAAATTAAATTTCTGCTATAATTTCCAGCTATTGCCTGGAACTGGTGCTAACCACGTCGGGAACGTAGGATTAGCCACCCAGTTACCATTAAACTTGCACTTCCCCATGGCGCAAGCTCCCACTAGCTTAACCAGCTAATGTGCTCATCTAAATATAGCCCCCTTTCACAACCAGCTGAACGTGTACGGTTCCGCTTTTGCCAATATTATACACAAAAATGCTGAACACTAACTAGAAATTCACAAAAATTTCATAGAAATAAAATAATCTAGTTTATTGGGTCTTTGGTAATTTAAGACCTTTGGAAACTGTATTTAAAGATTATTTGTCATTTTTAAGGATTTTCAAGGCCTTAAATTGGGAAAAGTAAATTTAAGACTTTTTAACACTTTTCAAGGACCCGCGGATACCCTGTTATAAATTGTAAGTCGCTTTGGATAAAAGCGTCTGCTAAATAAATAAACATAAACTGGATGGCTTACTGTAAAACACAAAGACTTCAAGCTTGAATTCAGCATCTTGAGAGCAGGTTAGGTCTGAAAACTCACGACACACAGCCATCACTTCCTTCACAGTATCATAGTGATTTCAGGACAGCTAACCTAACATCACATGTCCTTTACACTCACTGGCCACTTCATTATTATAGATTTGAGTCTATTAAAGTGGTTCTGAAGGCAAGAGGAAGTCCAACCTGGTATTTGTCAGGTGCACCTAATAAAGTGGCCAGAGGATGATTGGCATGGATGGTACAGATGATGTGCTGCTTTTATAGAGTCTAAATGTGGCGCAAAGTACAACAGTGGAAACTTTTAAACAGGCTGAAAAGGTATTTTAGTAGTTTAATACCTAAAACTGCTTCTGTTTCAGAGTCAGAGAAGTCTAAACATATTAATGTTTTATTATGGTTAGTGTAAGCATTCTTACACACGCCTACAACATGTTTACCTTATTACTAAAATAACACATGCAGTATTATTTTATTTAATGTGTTACTTATAAATAAAAAGATTATAAAGAAAATCAAGGTACTGACTCAAATGTGTCGCTAGTCAAAGAAATGCATCAGTGTGGACAGGTTGGTAAAATCCTGAAAGGGTCAATGGATCTTCCAGGATTAAACATGTTAGGCCTTTACATTTCAATAGACCTTAACTGTATCTGATACAAACTTAAAGCAATGCATGGGTCTTTGCAAACATCTCCAACACATTTCTGACTAGCATATTACATCATCATGCCCTCCCTGCTGATGTCAGAGGATATTATGATGTCACTATCCTCTAACATCATGGACTGAGCTCATAATAATCTCTCATTATCTCTCTCTGCTGGTTTTACTGAGTTCTAACAGACACAAAAACTAACTGACAGGATTAGGGACATAACTGTAACCCAAGAAGGGTTTAATCCTGTCTGCTGGTGAACCCAAGCCCCTGGTAAACATCAAGTCTTCATTTTAACCAAACAGGTCGTAGTTATGGGTGGTCAACAGCCAGAGCAAAGTCACCCAGGGTGTTGTTGTTAGGAGCTGCTTACGGTTCACATAAAGCACCAAACTCAGCTTAAGCACCGATGTTATGAAGTAATCCATGATCATAGGTCAACTCGTTCCTCGGCTGCCTAGAGCAGCCTCCGAACACGAGAGGCTCACTCCTCCCAACAGGTCAGAAGTCAGCCAGGTGCCACATCACAGCTAACGTCAAGCTAGCCAACAAACTACTGCCATGTAAACAACAGAGTCGTTTAACAAGCTCGCCTTTATTCGCAGCGTCTGATAATCTAAAACACCATTTAAATGAAACGTAGGAAGCAAAACTAAACTCACCAACAAACTACAGTTACACTTAGCCACACTGACAGCAGGATTCGCCACAACAGTCGTGTCATCTTCATCCCTCTCCTGTCGGGACAGACATCCTCTCACCACATTCAAAGAAACGTTTTCTTTTTAGTTGTTGTCTTCACCTGCTGCGTAAAATGTAAACTCGCGGGTGTGTTCTGTAAACCTCACACATAATAATAACGCATTCCCAGGTCTAGAGTAACACTAACGGCTGTTTCCTGGCTGGCTATAAACAACCTGCCACCAAAACCCAGTGCAACTAACATCCAATCAGAAAGCAGTAATGCTGTGACGCAGCTCCAACTCTGGGAGCGCTCGTTTTATAAAACCTGGTCAAGAGGCGCTAACGCAAGTCATCTATCTATCTATCTATCTATCTATCTATCTATCTATCTATATCTATATCTATATATATAGATATATACATATCTATATATATCTATATCTATATATATATCCTCTATGAGGCTTATCTACTTCAAAGACGCATCTGAATGTCGTCAGCTTGGATAGTTATAATTTTTTTGAAGTGAGGAATAATCACGCTTTGGGTAAAAGGAAAAGAACAGCTGATGAGAAATAACGTAACCTTCAATAAACAGTTGTTTTGCTGACTTTTTAAGCTGTGAAAGTATTCTGCGATCATTTTAAACTCATATCGTGCACTATTTATCACCTTAAAGGAAAAAAAAGCTGGGTTTGTTATAGTAACTAAATATAAAGAAATTACTCATTGACACGAGGTATCGCGAGAGTAATGTGTACAAACAGCAGCTTGGCTGCAGAGATCCCTCAGATCCGAGATCTGTGTAAGATATCTGTTAGAAATAGTGTAAGTTTGTTAACCAATTTGTGTTTTAACATTCTGTTGTTTTTGTACATTAATCTCATAAAGACTAGTATTTGCACGTTTTAGTGTAATATTTAAACAAAAGAAACATCGCATTGCAGTCTTTTACGAAAGTAAAAGCATTTTCACCTCTCGACAGTAGAGGGAGCCATTTCCTTAAATCTGTAATTTTGAAAGCCTAAAATGAAAATTCACTAGGACATCAAGGCTCAACAACAACAACAACAACAATAATAATAATACTACTACTACTAATAATAATCCAGAAGATTGTACTTCTCGGAAGTGCCCACATCATCAGAAGGACGCTTTCCATAAACTTAGAAGCATGGATTGATTCTGGCACTTCAGTGAAAGCATACAAATATACAAAAAATAATAATAACAATAATAATAATAAAAATAATAATAATAACTACTATAAGCATTAATATAGTAATAATAATAATAAACAAATAATAATAATATACTGAATGTATGAGAGATGAAGAACTAGTATGTTTGTTTCCACTCTACAATAAGAAAAAACTGTCCTTATTAAAGGCTAATAACAGGTCAATGCTATTTTCAAAAATAAAGCTGTGGACTCTTCATGAACCATTCACATCCATTTACAATATTTGAGATATAAAATAGCATCAACTTTCCTGGAAAACAGTGAGTTAACATGTACCTGTATCAGTACTTAATTGGTGTTAAATGGGCTTCGTGTTATGAATTATGAATAGCACAAATGAATAAATATAGTGACAAAGAGATCCATTCTGCCCACTTCACCCCTGCGTGAAGACTAAAATGCCGGAACATCTTGTAAGGTTGTATGGGGAGATGATGGAAGGTTTGGTTGGTATATTTCAGAGTGATGGGAATGAGCTAGTTAAGAAAACAGAAGGAACCCATCATTAGATATTTTGGTAACCCTAAGATTGTGGTGGTACCATAATCTTGATCAAGGTACAGCTGTTTTATGTCCTCTTCAATTCATATTACCATCATCACGTCTCCAAATCAACATTTTCTTATTTGTTTTGCCTCCTGATCAAATACAACAGCTCTGGTTCTGACCAAGGTCTGCAGAACCCCAACAGTTGCTCCAGAGCAGCAGAAGACCACACCAGGTTTCTCTCCTGGCCACACAGGATCACCAGAACTGGACCAGAAGAGATTGGAAAAAACTTTCCTGGTCGGATGAATTTGGATTTCTGCTGTCAGGTCAGAATTTGATGTCACCGACATGAAAACATGGATCCGTCCTTCCTGGTATCAGGGCTTCAGTTCAGGTGGTTGCTGATGCTGTAATGGTGCTGTGTGTGTGTGTGTGTGTGTGTGTGTGTGTGTGTGTGTGTGTGTGTGTGTGTGTGTGTGTGTGTGTGTGTGTGTGTGTGTGTGTGTGTGTGTGTGAGGTGTACCCAGCATGCCACTTGCTCCTTGTAATAAAAACTCAGTCAAACATATGAGGAAGTAGTTTATTGAGGAGCGATTCAGACACAGAAAATAGCAACTGATGCATTTCCCAGATTCAACACTTTCTTTTTCATTAAATTTTTTTCACATTTACTGAAACCGTCAGCTGATTCTTCGTTTATTTTAACTTTACTGATCTCCTTCTGAATAACTTTGGCAATAAAGAATTGCGATTGGTGCCAGTAAGGCCGTCTAACCGAGGGTGAAGAGAGCTTATAGTGAATAGAGACACAGAGAACGATTAAAGCGCTAGTTTTCTTGATGAGGTCTTAATAGTCCACAGGTACACTGTCTCCTTATCATTACCTATATACACCAGAACAAAGTTTAGGCCCACATACACAATAACAAAGTGACAGAGAAGCACTTGAACATCGACAATACAACCTCAAGCTCTGATGCAGCTGCTGACAGGCTGACTCCAGTCCGAACGGAGAAAGATAAAAATCCAAATGAGGAAGAATGAGGGGGAAGAGAAGGGCTGAACAAACTAATGTTTTCTTTCGTTTGATCTTTTACGTCTATCTGGTCCATCAGCCTCTGAATCAGAGCTTGAGGGCCACATTTTGACCATCGATACACCACAGGTGGACGCCTATGACGAGGTGAAACGTCTTATCGAGGTTGTTTTATCCATATAGAGAGTACTGAAGGTGCTCCTCAGCCCTGCTGTGGTGTGTGTGTGTGTGTGTGTGTGTGTGTGTGTGTGTGTGTGTGTGTGTGTGTGTGTGTGTGTGTGTGTGTGTGTGTGTGTGTGTGTGTGTGTGTGTGTGACTGCTACTACAACACACAAAACAGCTCACTCAAGTCAAACACTAACTTGAGCCTGCAGAGTTTTCATGACTCAGCATTAACAGCTTCCACCATGAAAGAGCATAAATGATGACAAACATGCAGAAAGACAGCACATGCATGTGTCCTCTCTCTCTCTCTCTCTCTCTCTCTCTCACACACACACACACACACACACAAACACACACTTTATTATTTGCACAGAGAAACGTATATACCGTAAATCCTCTAATATTAGCCTGTATTTAATTAACTGCCGGGTATCATATTTTGGCCGGTGTCGGAGTCGGCGGAGGTGAATAATTGCCGGTTTTTTATTGTGGGGGAGAGGGCTGAAGCAGGGGGAGGGGGGGAGAGGGCTGAAGCAGAAACTACCGTTGTTAAAAGAAACGTGTTTAACTCTGCAAATGTGGGCGCAATTTTAATTGTCAAAAACTCCAGCGAACCATTATTTCATTTTGCTCAAATAGAAATTGAGGCCTGCCTCTAATTCTGGTCCTCCTTCCAATAAAGGCCTGGAGCTTGATGTGCTTGAGTCAAATACAGGCCCGGCCTGTATTAGAGGATTTACGGTACACACTTCTACTAAGATACAACTTTTGTCCCTAAGAGAACGTTGAGCTGTTAATTAACACTTGGAGGGGCGTTGTACAATAAATTATTACAATACTAAATTAAACTGCCTATATGTAGGCAAATTAGTCCCTCCCCCAAATACTTACGCACACAAAATGGCACACACACACTACGTACACACACTCCCATGCAATAAGAGCAGTGTATGTACCATGCTGCATTTTGGAATGAGTAGAGCAGTATGACTGCTGAGCATATTTGTCATGTGGAAGCAGCGACGTGGGAGGGTGGGGGTACGGAGCAGTGGACCTGCTAAGCAAACCTGGGGCACAGGCGAGCAACAAGCGCACATACACATACACCACGAGACAAGAACCATAATGTACATAGATATAATGGACGTCTTCACCTGGCAGAATACTGAGGTCAAAGGAGTCAAAGACCTCCATGTCTTCACAAAAGGGGGACACCAGGACACCAGAGCCATGGCTAGGTAGGGGTTAGGGTGGGGGTGGTATGGGTACAAGGATTCCTGCCCAGATGATTACGGTGGAGCTTGTCTTGTAGGAGATGGCGGAGGCCGTCGACTAAAAGGTAGAGGTGTAAGAGACAGAGAAAATAGAAAAAAGTGAAATAGATTAACTTTTTCACAAGAGTGAAACATTTCAGTTTAGATGTAAGTGAGACAGAGATTTCACTTGAATTGTCTCTTCATAAATGGCAGGTTTAAAACTAACTGGAGTTGATGCCAGCTTGTGAGAAGTCAGAGTATCAACACAAACATCTAAACCAGGATTAAAACGTTCAGTTCACTAACACAGACTAACAATTCTGGGCTCATGCTACATCTTGTGCGGCTTTAAAGTGACAGTGTGTATTTTCCCTGGCGACAGGGGGCAGTACATACCTAAATCATTGCAAGCAAGCATCATTTTTGTGTTCAAGTAAGACCTTACCAACGGATTATGGAACTGGGATTGGGACACTATTAAATTGAACTTGTACCAAGTTTTGTAACTTGAAACATGTTTTGTAACTGTGGCTTTTGTTTTTTAACACGCAACTTACATTTTATGACATGTAACTTTTGTTTTGTAACATATAAATTTCATTTTGTAACAGGTAACTTTCGTTTTGTAACAGGTAACTTTTGTTTTGTAACATATAACTTTTGTTTTGTAACATGTAATTCTCATTTTGTAACAGGTAACTTTTATTTTGTAACATATATCTTTTGTTTTGTAACATGTAATTCTCATTTTGTAACAGGTAACTTTTGTTTTGTAACATATAACTTTTGTTTTGTAACATATAACTTTTGTTTGTAACATATAAATTTCGTTTTGTAACAGGTAACTTTCGTTTTGTAACAGGTAACTTTTGTTTTGTAACATATAACTTTTGTTTTGTAACAGGTAACTTTTGTTTTGTAACATATAACTTTTGTTTTGTAACATATAACTTTTGTTTTGTAACAGGTAACTTTCGTTTTGTAACAGGTAACTTTTGTTTTGTAACATATAACTTTTGTTTTGTAACATATAACTTTTGTTTTGTAACATATAACTTTCGTTTTGTAACAGGTAACTTTTGTTTTGTAACATATAACTTTTGTTTTGTAACAGGTAACTTTTGTTTTGTAACATATAACTTTTGTTTTGTAACAGGTAACTTTTGTTTTGTAACATATAACTTTTGTTTTGTAACAGGTAACTTTTGTTTTGTAACATGTAACTTTTGTTTTGTAACAGGTAACTTTTGTTTTGTAACATATAACTTTTGTTTTGTAACAGGTAATTTTTGTTTTGTAACATATAACTTTTGTTTTGTAACATATAACTTTTGTTTTGTAACAGGTAACTTTTGTTTTGTAACATATAACTTTTGTTTTGTAACATATAACTTTTGTTTTGTAACAGGTAACTTTTGTTTTGTAACATATAACTTTTGTTTTGTAACAGGTAACTTTTGTTTTGTAACAGGTAATTTTTGTTTTGTAACATATAACTTTTGTTTTGTAACATATAACTTTTGTTTTGTAACAGGTAACTTTTGTTTTGTAACAGGTAATTTTTGTTTTGTAACATATAACTTTTGTTTTGTAACAGGTAACTTTTGTTTTGTAACATATAACTTTTGCTTTGTAACAGGTAACTTTTGTTTTGTAACATATAACTTTTGTTTTGTAACAGGTAACTTTTGTTTTGTAACATGTAACTTTTGTTTTGTAACAGGTAACTTTTGTTTTGTAACATATAACTTTTGTTTTGTAACAGGTAACTTTTGTTTTGTAACATATAACTTTTGTTTTGTAACAGGTAACTTTTGTTTTGTAACATATAACTTTTGTTTTGTAACATATAACTTGTTTTGTAACAGGTAACTTTTGTTTTGTAACATATAACTTTTGTTTTGTAACATATAACTTTTGTTTTGTAACAGGTAACTTTTGTTTTGTAACATATAACTTTTGTTTTGTAACAGGTAACTTTTGTTTTGTAACATATAACTTTTGTTTTGTAACAGGTAACTTTTGTTTTGTAACATGTAACTTTTGTTTTGTAACAGGTAACTTTTGTTTTGTAACATATAACTTTTGTTTTGTAACAGGTAACTTTTGTTTTGTAACATATAACTTTTGTTTTGTAACATATAACTTTTGTTTTGTAACAGGTAACTTTTGTTTTGTAACATATAACTTTTGTTTTGTAACATATAACTTTTGTTTTGTAACAGGTAACTTTTGTTTTGTAACATGTAATTCTCATTTTGTAACTGGTAACTTTTGTTTTGTAACATAACTTTTGTTTTGTAACAGGTAACTTTTGTTTTGTAACATATAACTTTTGTTTTGTAACATATAACTTTTGTTTTGTAACATGTAACTTTTGTTTTGTAACATGTAATTCTCATTTTGTAACTGGTAACTTTTGTTTTGTAACATAACTTTTGTTTTGTAACATAACTTTTGTTTTGTAACAGGTAACTTTTGTTTTGTAACATATAACTTTTGTTTTGTAACATATAACTTTTGTTTTGTAACAGGTAACTTTTGTTTTGTAACAGGTAACTTTTGTTTTGTAACATGTAATTCTCATTTTGTAACTGGTAACTTTTGTTTTGTAACATAACTTTTGTTTTGTAACAGGTAACTTTTGTTTTGTAACATATAACTTTTGTTTTGTAACATATAACTTTTGTTTTGTAACAGGTAACTTTTATTTTGTAACAGGTAACTTTTGTTTTGTAACATATAACTTTCGTTTTGTAACAGGTAACTTTTGTTTTGTAACATGCAATTCTCATTTTGTAACATGTAACTATGGTACGTAACATGGAACTTTTATTTTGTAGCTTGCAGAAAAAAATCAGTGTACAAGTTTCAAATCACAAATCTCAGTCTACAGTTAGAAAACTCAAGTCTGCAAGTACAAAACATGTTATCCCAATTCTAGCTTGCGTCCAACAGGAATTGTCTTCAACGTGAATCCAAACTCATTGATTGGCTGGTCAGACAAAGCCTGTCATTTGTTCTTTGGGAAGGAAGATAGAATTGGGACAAAAATATGTGAAAACAACCTTGAACTACGTTACAGCTGCTAGCACATACGAATGTAAAAGGAAATACTTTATTGATGTGATTATAAATGTTAACAGCTTGTACTCTGGTCACACGTGGCAAAAGTGGTAAATTTGATTTAAATGACATACGTGATGTTCGCCCTTTGGTTCTTTGTAAAATGAGAGCGGAATATTTGTGACAAACGGTTTACAGACTTAACTTTAGGGTCACATGACCCTTAAAACTGACAGCTGCTCAGCAAAAACAAAGTCCTCCAGACTCTGGAAAAGAGAATGAAGACTGAAAACTTTAATAAAATATGTGAAGGAACAAGAGCTGAAGCGGACTTCTGGCATTGCCATGGAAACATGTAAATGCTGACCATCATCTACCATCATTTCTGCGTTCATCGTGTCCCAAACACGAAGAAGCAAACATCAAACCCAACGGATGAAGCTTGTAAGTGCAGAACCAGCTGTGTGATGCTCTGCGTCAGCGTCAATCTTTCCAGCAGGATGAGTTCATTTCATCGTCACAGAGTCAATAATCTGCTTCATAATCTGAGTCGGTCATGAACAGACATAGAGATCAGTCAACAAAGACCAGACCTTCTAATATTCGCCCTTTTCGTGCTGCGCTCCCCTCCCTTCTCGTCCTCTTCCCGACCAGGAACCTCCCGGCGGGATGCGTTTTTCAAACACCAAAAACTCCGAAATTTTCAATATAAACACTCTCATAAGTGTTGCTCAGCCTGAAGTTGCACATCTTCTCCACTAAATCTTCTGGTGTAAAGTAGTAACTTCAGCTCAGCTCAAACTAAGCCTGACACTGAGATTTTGGTTTACGTTACCTATTTATTATAATCTACAGCACATGCCCTAATAAATAGTTATGATTATTACATCATGAGATAATTTGCATGAATGGTTTGATTTTAGCTAAATTTTATAAACTGATTTGTATCGGACTGATGTGTAACGCACATAATCATTGCTATGAATGGGTGTCTGATGTAACCCCCCGCTGGGCGGTAGGGTGATGACCTCACTTACCTAGGGATGTTGGGAGGGGCCCTGTTTGGGCGACTGGGAGCTTGAGGGCTTTCAGCACTGTTATTGAAGGGTCCTAGTGGTCCTGGGCGGTTTGGTGGTGGTGGGGCCCCTCGTGGAGCTGGCCGCTGGCCCGAAGACATCCTCCTGGGAGCCGTAGGGCTGGGAGGCGGAGACCTGGAAACAGGTGTTAAAGAAAAGTTGTTTAAGGTAGAAATAAAAAAGTCAAGAAGTCAGAAATAAAATCTTCAGCCTGATGAAATCCCTTCCACCTCACCTGCGACCACCGCTGGTTCCTCCCACCCAGGACGTGTCTACAGGTGGAGGAACAGGGACGGTGATGGTGGAGGTGGAGATGTCACCGATTATAGCCAGGGCCTCCTTGAGGGCCTGGTGGGTCCTCAGCACCTCATCCCTCCTCTGGGCCTGTTCCTGGGACTCATCCATCAGGGCGTTCTGGTCACCTGCAGAGTACAGGCAGGCCAGCAGCTCTGCATTGATGAAGTCCTTCACCTGTTGGCCGAAGAATCGGAAAGATGACAATTTG